ACGAGCTACCCCTTAGGAAGCCATAAATTTTTTTTTTGATAAAAATACATTTTGCAACCTGCGGTTTTCGATTTTTTTAAAAGTCAATTTTTGAGCTAGAATGCTCATCTTCGAACTCGATCTGTCTTTTTGTGATACAAAACGACCTTAAAAAACCCAGATCGCTCTCTCAATTCTTTCTCGAGTTATCGTGCGGACAGACAGACAAACAAACAGACAAACAGAATGACACTTTTCCGGTCGGTGGAGTAATGGGCCTCGCTAATCGTTCAGCCAACTAGCTATATGTACGCCAGACCACGTCTCGCGTAACAGGCTTCGCGATATCTCACGAAAGACTGTTACGCTGCGACGCGCCTGGCGCGCATATAGCTAGGCCTGCGGCGCTGACACCCGAGACGGGGTAATAGGAGTGTATATACAATTTTTCGAAATGAAGTCTTTTTAACGATTTAATCGACCATTTGATCATTTTCACCTCATTTTTGTCAAGAAATGCCCCCTAGCACCTAAACGGTACAAGATAGAGGGTTCTACTTTGACGGTTTACCCTTTACCAACCCATAAAAAAATATTTGATAAAAATACATTTGGCGACCTGTAGTTTTTGATTTTTTTTAAAGCCAATTTTTGAGCTAGAATGCTCATCTTCGAACTCGATCTGTCTTTTTATGAAACAAAACGACCCTGAAAATTTCAGGTCGCTAGCTCAATTCGTTCTCGAGTTATCGTGCGGACAGACAGACAAACACACAAACAAACAAACAGAATGAAACTTTTTCGGTCAGTGGAGTAATGGGCTTCGCTAATCGCTCAGCCAATGAAGCAAATGCATCTCATGACTTTGCAGATATTTTGAGAGCGCTGATACTGCTGTCTCATCAGCTGCCACATGACGTCCCTCTTCCCAAGGAGAAATTTGAGTACTCCTGGGCACGGGAGTAAGATTTATTTGTTATTTTGGAAGTAGGTATTTGCCTTTGCCCCCATTTACTTTGCTAGCTAAATGTTGTGCTTTCTAATTTCAATTTAAAACCAGGGCTGCCACAAGTGAGGGAAGTCAGGGAAGTCAGGGAAATGTCAGGGAAAACAAAATGTGTCAGGGAAGTCAGGGAAATGTCAGGGAATTGAGCGCTGTGTCAGGGAAAAACGGCCGGCAGCGTTATTTTGGGTACTCGGCAATGTGTTGGCAAAATTCCCTCCTTGCTTATTGCCATCTGCAGGGTGTCGAGCGACTCTGGGAATACCGGAATTATACGAGAATTTAAATTGACCCGAAAAGAATCGGAGAATATCTCGGAATCTTGTAATAATCACCTCGGGAAATCTCTAAAAATTCCAAAGTGCCTTGTTTTTCTACCGGGATTAAATGGAAACTGCGCCGAAAGGATATATTAAGTTATCATTATCCCGCTCAAAACCACTCCTTTTTGACGTAAAATACCAAAAAACAATACAAAAAAGCTCGCTCCGCTCGCACTTTTCTAAGACTGTTACCTTCCCTATTAATCTCAAAGCGTTAGCGAAAGACCGAAGACGCCTATTCAGGTGGGTCTGGTGGGTGAGTGTGAGTAGGTAATCTCAAGTGTGGACACCGGAGCAACCCCAGCTGACGACACCGCAAGGTAAATCGAAACGGTGTCAAAAGGGTCTACCAAACAGAGCTTAATCCCTCTAAAAACCGCTCTTTATATCATTATACATATCAAAAATATTCTCGCTCGCTTCGCTCGCGATTTTCTATGGGGAATACCTCTGTTAGGCTCAGTCATACTCCTGTCAACCTGAGTATTTAGCCATTTGATAATTTTTTTTATCTATCATTCGATTCTACCTCTCTAATGTTAGGAAAAAAATTCATCTGAAAGTGCTACAAATACTCGTGAATTTGCTCTGGGAATACCGGAAAAGTCGAGGAATTTTATTTTCAGTCGGCGCTGCTCGACACCCTGATTCTGACTGCTAATCTTGTCAGGGAAATTTACGGAATTGTCAGGGAAAAGTCAGGGAAATGTCAGGGAATTTCACTTTTCCATTATTGTGGCAACCCTG